AGCCCTAAGTATAACGCAGGCTGTCACCGGGCTGGGCTGAGGATGGTCCTGACCACCCTGAGGAAGAGAGACCTCCCCAGGGGGCGCATATCCAGCAGGAAGAAGCACAGGTCGGTGAACAACCCTGGTCTCGTATAGGATCAAGGGTGGTTGTGGGGGAGGGAGGATTCTGGAAGAAGATAAACAATGACAAGGGCCCATGCACATATACCCCCAGAGAGTCACATCCCCATAGCCTGAACCCACATCCCCCAGGTCCAGAAGAAGCAGTTCCAGAGTTGGGCAGGACCAGATTTGTTTGCTTTTTTTTTTTTTCTTGGACAGGTCCTAACTAGAGGGCAGTTTGGCCATTTATCAAGAGTCCTGCCAGCAGTATCTTTCAACTCAGTAATTCCCGAGGAAATAATCAGAAATGCGCCCCAAGATTTATCTACAGCATTGCTTACCACAACATTATTTATAATAGCTTGAGCCTGAAATAACTTACAGGCCCAATAAAAGGGGACTGTTAAATAAATTATGGTCCGGCGAGTGATTAAATCATAAACAGCCATTAAATCCCATCTTCTGAATGTATGGAATGACAGGGGGCATGCCTCATGGTACAAAGTTAAGTTGCAAAAAAAAAAATGGATGTAAAAATACACATTAAGTATTCCCTGAGCAAACCTCCATTGACCATCTACCCTGAGCTGGGCACTACTCTAAGCACAGAGGATTTAGTGGAAGAGAAAATCGCCACAATTCCTGCACGCATTGGAAGAGGTATTAGGGCAGAGGAGGGGACTGCACTGCACTGCACTGTCCTTCCATTGTTCATCGATTTGCTCAAGTGAGCACCAGTAACGTCTCACAACAAATTGTGAGACTTATTGTTACTGTTTTTGGTATATCGAATAGATCACAGGCAGCTTGCCAGGCTTTGCTGTGCAGGCGAGATATTCTCAATAGCTTGCTGGGCTCTCCGAGAGGGGTGGAGGAATAGAACCTGGGTCAGCCACGTGCAAGGCAAACGCCCTACCCGCTATGCTATCTCTCCAGCCTGAGGAGGGGACTAAACAAGTAAAATGGGATTCTACCCTCGGATGAAGACACACAGGGAACGTAAGAAACTGTAAGTCAAATCTACAAGAGTGATGAAAGGGTAAGAGGGCCATGGAGAGGGGCTGGAGCACTAGCACAGTGAGTAGGGCATTTGCCCTGCATGTGACCAACCCGGGTTTGATTCCCAGCATCCCATATGATCCTCCGAGCACCACCAGGAGTAATTCCTGAGTGCATGAGCCAGGAGTAACCCCTGTGCATCATCGGGTGTGACCCTTCCCAAAAAAAAGCAAAGAGAAAATTAAAAAAGGGCCATGGAGAAAATCAAAAAAGGGAAACGAGAAGCTGGCTGGGAGGGTGGGTAGGAGGTCAGGGATGAATGCTAGGAAGAAGGGTTTGGGATCAGGGCTCATATCTAGGACGACTCCCAGGCAGAGTGACAATCAGGCAGTGCCAGCCCTTTGAGGAGACCTGGTGGAAGGGGAAGGATGTCCTCGACAAGTGGCAGAAGGAGGAGGACAGCGGGAAGATGGTGTGAGCAGAGAGTGATGTGCACAGGGTCAAGGGTTAGCAGCAGGCAGGATGGTTGGGGCTTTTCCAGAGACCGACAGCCTTGAATGGACCTGTGTTCACTTTATCATCAGAAAACAGCAGGCACTTCCTCTCCGAGAAGCTCAAAGCCGTGCTGCTGACCAAGGTTCAAGGCCACGGAGGGGCACAGAAGAGGGCAGGGTGGGGAAGGAAGCCGCGGAGCACACAGAGCTTTGAAAAGTACAAATCATACTTCTGGATAATAATAATAATAATAATAATAATAATAACTAGAACCCCAAGGCCAAAAGCATAAGCACACCCCCACCACCCTGCACCTGAGCAACATATGTCTAACCAGCTGGAAGATTTCCTTCCTGCCTTCCCCCCTCCGTGTGCTGTGGGGTTTGGTCCCCTTAAGAGCTCTACAATCCCACAAACTTGGCAAACACTCAGATATCCCTTGGGCAAGGAATGGAGGACGAAATGCTGCACGGATGTCTGGGAGCAGAGTGGTGCATCCTCTAGTTGATGGCATGGGGATGGTAGGTGGTCCAGAAGAAAGCTGCCATTGAAGGCCCCGGTCAGGCCTGGCTGTCTGGACGATTATAGAACAGCAGGGACAGTCTCTGCCCAGGCCAGCAGGATGCCATCGGATGAGGACCAAGCTGAGTTCAGTTTTGGGGGTGTGGGGTAGGGAAGGGGCGACAGGAGGGCCCGAGGAGGCACCTGCTATCCCTTTTCCTAGGACTCCAGGAGCAGCAAGAACCTTGAGGGAGGTGGTCGTGGTGGAGCTGTGGAGGCTGAGAGGGGTGCAGTGACCATTACAGCTCTGCCTGGTGCCAACATGTCCCCTACATGACACGCCCTGTCCTTTGCCGCTGCCCCAACACGCAGGCACCAGAGGCCTGGGAGTCCAGGTTTGGCCCAGCTCCTTCCCAGATCACTCTTTGCTCTGTTCAGAAACCCCGAACTGAGACCCCGAGCCCAGGGAGAAAGAGCAGTGACTGCACTGCACCTGCTTCGTGTTAGTTGGAGCCTTCCAGAGATGCCCCCGGTCCCACCAAAGAGCAGAAGCCACGCCGCGCCTCTGAAACACTTCACCTCATCCCCCGCGTGCACTGCCAAGTTGCTGAAGCTTTTCTCTCTGTCCTTGGTATGGAATGAATAAAACCTCCACCCATCCAGAGGACGCACCCGCTCCGTCCTTGCTCCCACCCTAGCCCCCAAGGACACTCTGAGCAGTGCAGCTGCGCTTTCATTTATCATTATGTTGTTAGAACTGCTCATTGCTGTGTCCTTCCTTCCACGCAGAGATGAGCTCCTCTCTTCCTCTTTCTGTGGACTTCACTTGGCCTTTTTTTTTGTGTGTGTGTGGTTGTTGTAGTTGTTGTTTGTTTTTGTGTTTTTGTTTGTTTGTTTGTTTTTTGCTTTTGGGGTCACACTCAGCGATGCACAGAGGTTACTCCTGGTTCACGCACTCAGGAATTACTCCTGGCTGTGCTCGGGAGACCATATGGGATGCTGGGAATCAAACCTGGGTTGGACCACATGCAAGGCAAATGCCCTACTTGCTGTGCTATTACTCCAGCCCCTTCACTTGGCCATTTGAACAGAGGCCACGAGATTTCCTCTCTTCGTAGAACAGATCCATGGTGGACATCCCGTCTTCTTCATCTTCTTCGTCTGCTCAGCCCTCCATAGGCAGAGATTTCCGGTGCGGGTTCATTTTGGGGGGATTTGCTTTGTTTTTGTTTATTTGTTTGTGCGTACCTTGTCCTCTCCCCCACAGCTCGGAAGCTCCACACACAGCTCCTGGCAGTTCTGGCCCAATCGTCATCAGTCTGAGTAGATGGTCAGCAAACGCATGGGAACAAAACCCTTATCCAACGTTTGCCAGTTCTCCAGGCCACAGGGTTGCTGGGACACTGGTCACCTGGACACTACCCAGCTCTGTGAGATAAAGTCAAGCCAGAAGAACAGACTCTCTTGAAAGACAGTGGGCAGACCACCGGGGAAGGAATACAAGGCGACTGGGGCGAAGTGTCCTTTCCCGTGTGGTGGGCTATGCCACCAAGTCTGCACACTGACCCACCAGAGCCCCAGACAGCCTCCTGAGTGTAGCACTGGGCTCACACCTGGGCTTAATGTAGCACCGTGTAAGTCCTTGATATCTGTCTTCAGCATATTTATTTTTCTTTTTGCGCCACAACTGGCTGTGTTCGGGGATCACTCTTGGCAGCGCATGGGGGAGAACATATGTGGTGCCAGGGTTGGGGCCCAGGGTGGTCTCTCGTAGAGCAAGTGCCTTACTGCTGTGTCACCTCTCTAGCCCCCTTTTAAATTTAAATTTTTGAGGGTAGGCATGGCGCTCAGGTGAAGCATGGTTCTCTGGTGCATGCTTCACCATGTATGATCCACATTAGGATGATGTAGGATCAGGGGTGCGGTGGGTGGCCTTTGCAGCTCTGCCTGATACCAGCGTGTCCCCTGCATTACACCTCCTGCCCTTCACTGCTGCCCGCTGCAGGGATCTGGGCCTCCCTAAAGAGATGGGGATGCCACGGCCCCTTGCATTCAATCCCTGGTGCACGCAAACTAGATTTCTCTAAGCGATGGCCTTATTTATTTATTTATTTATTTATTTAGTACAAATATGGCTGGAGCGATAGCACAGCAGGTAAGGCGTTTGCCTTGCAAGTGGCCAACATGGCTGACCCAAGTTCGATTCCTCCGCCCCTCTCTGAGGGCCCGGCAAGCTACTGAGAGTATCTTGCCCACGCAGCCAAGGCTGGCAAGCTCCCTTTGACGTATTCGATATGCCAAACACAGTAACAAGTCTCACATTGGAGACGTTACTGGGCCCTCGCGAGCAAATCAATGAACAACGGGAGGACAGTGACAGTGACAGAGATACACAGTTAAAAAGCTGTTCATGATCAGGTTGGGTTTCAGTCATACAATGAGTTTCCCTCCCACCACCCCCTTTCCCCACTCCCCCAGCGTGCCTCTATGCTCTATGGCAGACTCTCTTTCTCTCTCTCCTGGTCTCCCTCTCTCTCTCTCTCTCTTTCTGCAGTATGGTTTGCAATACAGATACTGAGAGATTATCATGTTTGTTCCTTTACCTGTTTTCAGCACACAGTTCCTATCCAGAGTGATCATTTCCAACTATCTTTGTCATAATGGTCCCTTCTCCATCCCAATTGCCTTCGCCCCCAGCACTTGAGGCCGGCTCCAACCGTGGACCAATCGTCTCGGCAATGGCCTTTCTTATAGGCTGAGCCTTCTCAGTTCCCCACAGGACCCTCCCCACTCACCTCCCCAAACAGAGCCTTTGCACAGCCCCTCGCTCAGCAGCCCTGAGCTGGCTCTGGAGTGAGACTGGGGCTCAGCTCCCAGGGGAACCCCACGGCCCAACTCACCAGCACTCAGGGTCGTGAACTCCAGGAAGCGGTATTCATAGGACACGTCGATCTTGGTCTCCACCTGCGGCCGCTTCAAAGTCGAATAGATATTTCCAGGTCGTTTGTCGTCACGTTTCTCTAACTTATTCAGTCCACAACCCATTTCAGCAGCTGCAAGCAAAGGGGAAAAGAGGAAGGCAGGGTGAAATTCTGTTTTATTATTATTATTGTTATTTTTCTTTTGCTTTTTGGGTCACACCTGGTGATGCACAGGGGTTCCTCCTGGCTTTGCACTCAGGAATTACTCCTGACGGTGCTCAGGGGACCATATGGGATGCTGGGGATCGAACCCGGATCAGCCTCATGCAAGCAAACGCCCTACCTGCTGTGCTATCTCTCAAGCCCCGAAATTTTATTTTTTTTCCTGAGATTTTTTTAAAGCACTATGGTAGAAAAGAGCCCTGTAATATCACTGAAGGGCACATCAAAGGCCTTGACATTCATGAAATCTGGAGGATAATTTAGCATCTGACCTGAGCACCAGGGGAACCTCGGCTTGGTACCCGAAAGCTCCACTTTCTCTTTCAACACCGTGACCAGCCAACCTATGATTCTTCCTGCACTGAAAGCAGAGCTGGTTTATATATTTATTTGTTTTCTCTTGCTGCAGAAAATAACACCTTGGTTCCACTCTCATCTATGTACATGATTTAAAAATGGGCTCTAAAAGCCGTGGGGTGGATTATAGTGTCGGCCCTCCACAAAACCAGAGCAGGGTCAGTGGCACTGTGGTTGCTAAGAGAGAATAATACGAGGCTGTTACAATTTCCAAACTCCAAAGTCCTCTCTGCCCTCAACAGTAATTATTTAGACAGAAATCTGTATTCATAAACCATCTCTCGGAGTAGAGAGTGGTATTTGTATTGGCCTTGCCTAAAAGTCCCCCTTTTGTTCTTTTTCAAATAAACCATGGGGAATAATAGTATGCTTCCACGCTTTTCAAGAATCATTTCAGACCAAAATGAAAACGGGCTCCACACTAATGGCAGGGCTGGAGGAAGTGGAGGCAGCCACCTATGGGAGCAAGCGGGAAGACGGGAAGCTAGAGCAGGAAAAGGAAGTGGAGAAAGGTTCAAAGAATGTGTGGACGCCCAAGAGCTGAGTTTCCAGGCTTGCTGGGCAAACAAATTCATGAAGGATCTCCATTTGCTTCCTCAGAACAACAGTCACGAAATAACTTTTTCCCTCCGCTGCCTGCACAATCCGTGGGGGAGCACTTCCATGGGTGCACGGGGCAGGAGCAATACTTCCCTCCAGGGTGCTGCCGCTGCCACCCAAATCTATTCCATGACAATATTAACCGGCCAAGAATATCACCAACAGAAACACGGTGACTGCTTCCTCTCAGAGATAAGAATTTCCTTTTGTTCAACCTATTGACAAGACGCCCAGCTTCCTAAGGCAATTTGGCAAGCTCCAGAGAAACAGAATGAACCTCCAAAAAGCAAGTGTGTGTGTGTGTGTGTGTGTGTGTGTGTGTGTGTGTGCGCGCGCGTGCCTGCACAAGATGGGGGGCAGCAAAGACAACCAGGCAATACTTTTCAGTAATTAAAAAAAGTCTGGAAGGATGGATGAGAACAGGAAGGCTTACTTTTGCCTTAATAAGGGAACATTAGTGTCCAAAGGGCCGGAGCAGGCAAGATTTATGTGCAATCTTCATGAACTGACTGCATGTAAAATACTCCATCGTTCTGCAGATAGCATAGCTGATATGACAGAAGCTATGTATTTGAGCAAACTGTTACCCATGGGGCAAAGCAGAAGAGCAGTGGGGGTGCAGGGGATGCTGGTAACCTGAAGACATTCCCTCACTGGCAGAACTGAACTGGAAATAACCCAGAGGCTCTCCAAGTCTCTCACCTATCTCTCTCCTCTCCCTGCCATGAAGACTGGATGTCTGAGACTGCCAAAAGGAACGAGTCCTTTTCTTCAAAACTCTTCCTGTCTTTGTAAGCAAATTTTCACATGAGAGGTTCACGCCTTTGAAGTCTGATTCATCCAATCTCAGCCTCTCCTTAGAAGCTAATGATAATCCCAATTGAAGGGCAACCAGTTTAGCTCTGATGGACATTTTAGTTAGATTTCATCTTCTCTAATGGATTGTTGCCTTGACAAAAAGGAAAAACTATAAAGACTCAGATAAGAGGGAGCACAGGGAACCTAGACCTATAAGGAAAACACACCCCCACGTGCAACTTGTGTTTAAGGTTTCAGTCAGACCGTCCCAAACTTGAAGTCTCTGCCTAAGTTCACCCTGAAGGTTGTTGCACCTATCTTCCTAGACATGATGAGGCTCTGGGCATGTTATTGATGTCCTCAGGAAAGGCCATCATAGCAACTCTGTAGTATAATTGCATCCTGGAGCTCTCCTGTCTTTGGAGAGGAAGTCCTTGCTGAGCATCTGCTCGAAAGCACAGCTCTCTCAGGGAAGGGAGAACTTTTGAAGCAGTCACTGGCCAACAAAAACCTCATCAGAACTTGCTCCCTTGGCACGCGCAGAAAGCAGATTCTGGTGCCTGGGTGGGCAGCTACAAGACCAGCGCCAAGGTCACCAAGAGGACTCAGGTAAGCAGCCCCGAGGGGTCCTAGAGGTGGAGGCACAGGCCTGTTATCACTGGCCACTCTACCCCACCCCCCACCCATCACATAGGGAATACAACATCTTCTGGGACTAGCACAAGAACCCCTAAATGTTCTAACCCCTAAAAAATAGGTTGGTTAGGCTCAGTAGGGTACAAAGAGATATCCCCGGTGGTCGAGGAGTGTAAGATGGTGGAGTGTAGGCAGTTCACTGGAGAGACTCACTCCCAGTCTGCAGAAGCACAATGGGGCCTCAGGGGCAGAACCCCCATGAAGCTTAGAGAGTGAATATAGCAGCCCTGAATACTCAACCGGTACTCCACAGACACATCAACTCTCAGATAAGGGCTTCCAAGTGGAAACACGGTGGAGGATGTTTAATGAGCTCAAAGAAACAATGGAACGGAAAGCCAATAAAACAAAAAAGGAGATGAGAGCAGCAATGAGAAAGCTGTAAGCAGAAATGACCAAACTAAAACGCTTGGTAGGTGAAATTAAAGCAGGCTGGCAAGTGGATAGAGAAGGACCCCCCCCACCCCCCACCCCATGGCAAGGGGTTCCTGGAAGGTAATAAAACCAACAACAGCCCTCAAGTTGCAAAAGCCCCAGGAACTAAGGAAGTCCTGATAAGGCTTTTACCTGCGCCAACACAGACCCAGAGAAGGCTGGACCCCCCTCCGAGAGAAGTTACAGCAGGAACAAAGGTCAGGAAATGAATATCAAAGATCATCCACTACTCACAAAGCTACCCCCTTTGTAACCTCCTTAGCAAAGTTCTCTTACCTAGGTAGAAAATCCCTTGTGGGGCAGCTTGGGAGAAATCCGAAAGCCAACTTCAACAAAGAAGAGTGCACATGTGCTGCCTGAGCCCATGTGTTTCTGTCGAGCATATGTGGTGCCCGAGTATACATGTTTTCTGCATCTCCCCTCTTGGGATATGTACTGGGGGACCCGCGACTCTGGAGAAGCCCACGTTCTCTCTTGGGCATATTCTCCTCTCTCTCTCTCTCTCTCTCTCTCTCTCTCTCTCTCTCTCTTTCTCTCTCTCTCTCTCTCTTTCTCTCTCTCTCTCTCTCTCTCTCTCTCTCTCTCTCTCTCTCTCCCCCCCCTCCCCTCCCCAGCCTCTTCCTCAAAACTTCCAAATTAAATCTGTTATATTTTCACTGCTGTTATATTATGTCTGTTATATTTTCTTCTCCTGAAATTCTTGTCTGAGAGAAAGGCAAGAACCTGAAAGGCCTGAGTAAGGTCTAAGACTGACTTTCTTTTCCTGCAAGGAGCAAGGCTCCCAGACCTAGTTTTCCGCAGACATTCTCCAAGTGGCAGAGGTGGATAGAAAGAAAATGCAGATCCCCTTCTTGATGTCTCTCTCCTCTCTGCTTCACACAAGTCACCTGGAGACCCCATCAGGATCACAGTGAAAAACCAGAAGACCCCACTTGAGAGTAACAGCAGCTTAGGACAAAATCAGTGAAGTCTGAGATGAGTTGCAGAAAACTTCCAGATAAAAGAAGAAGATGGAAAAAAAAGTCTCAAGATAAATGCAGAGCGGACAAGAGAACTCTGGGATGAATTCAAGAGAAACAACATAAGAATCACTGGGGTCCCAGAAACCCAGGAAAGCAATTTTGATGAAGAAGCTTATTCAAAGAAATCATTACTGAGAAGTTTCCAGAGTTGAGGAGAACATGCACCCAGATTCAAAAGACCCAAAGAGTACCATCTGACAAAGACTCCAAGACACATCCGAACCAGAATGATAACAGCCATCCCACCGATAGAGATAGAATACTGAAAGCAGTAAGATCAATTAAGAAAATTACTTACAAAGAAGCATCCTTAAGATTTATAGCAGACATATCAAATGAAAGCCTGCAGGGCCCAAAGACAATGGTGGGATATAGCAAGAACACTTAAGGAAGTGAACATCTCACCAAGAATACTTGACTCAGCCAGAGTCTCATTTAGATTTCAAGAAACAATACAGAACTACACATATAACAACAGCTCAGGGACTTCACAGACTTGAATCCATCTTTAGAAGAACTAAAGGGGCTACTTTAAGACAAATCTCACAACCACACAGAAAGATGGCACAAAAACTCCATGACAAAAATCTCACTTAATGCCGATAGCCTAAATGCACCGATTAAGAGACAAAGAATGACTGGATGGATTAGAAAATGGAATCCAACCTTCTGCTGCACATTTGAACAACAGGGCAAACACAGACTCAAATGTTGGAAGACAATATTGTAAGTAAACAAGTCCCACAAATAGACCCATATGCCCATATTTCTATCAGACAATACGGACTTCCGGGCTTATAAAAGTTACGAGAGACAGAGGAGGTCATTTCTTAATGATCGAGGGATATGTACAAAACAAAGAACTCACTCTCCTAAGCATATATGCACCTAGTGAGGGATCAGCAAAATACTTAAAACAAGTAATAGACATGAAGAAAGACATCAAAAGCAACACAGTAATAGCTGGGACTTCAACACCACTCTGTCAAATCTTGACAGACCAAACCAGACTGAAAATCAGCAAGGAAATAATGGAGTTGAAAGAAGTGGAAGAGAGGGGATTATATATGCAGTAGTAATTGTTCCTCAGTAGGCAGTTTGCCAATGGATTGGAGGTGGAGGGATAAACTAGGGAAGGGAACATGGGACCATGGTGGAGGGGAAAAGCGCCTGCTCTAGGGGCAGGCTGAGAAATGGGAGAGAAACGGGACATTGGTAGAGGAAAGTGGAAACCAGTGAGAGGATTACTATTGGAACACTGTATGTCTGAACTTAATAATGAGTAATGCTGTAAGTCTGTGATTCATGGTTATTAAAAAATGTTTTTAATTTTTTCCATTGGGCCAGAAAGATAATACAGCAGTTATTACAGCAAGGTGCTTGCCTTGCATGCAGCCACCCAGAGATTCAATCCCCAGCACCAGATTTGGTCCCCTGAGTCCCTCCAGAAATGATCCCTAAACACAAAACCAGGAGTAAACTCTAAGTACCACCAGGTGTGACCTAAAAACAAATAAATAAAACAAAACAAAAAAAGAATTTGTTCCAGAAAGGAAAAAAAAAAAACAGGTTCTAATAATTCAACGGGCCAAGTGCATGCTCTATGAGGCTGGCTCCTCTGGGGTGATTCAGTCCCCCAGTGTTCTCCAGAACCACCAGGAGTGACTCTTGACTACCACCAGCCCAAAAACCAGAGCGAGAAAGAGAGACTATTCCTTTCCTCTCCTGAGCTGAGGGTCCTCCCTGTGGGTTCATGGCACACCCCTGTCTCCTTTAGTCCTCTCCTGTATTGGTTCACCAACCCACTCCTCTCAAAAAGGGAGAACAGTGGTTAGGGATGTGCTTATCTTATACCAACCTGGGTTTGATTCCTGGCACCATGTGACCCCTGAAGTATCACCAGGTATGGCCGAGAGGCTCCCCAAAAGCACAGCTGGTATGGCCTGAGTATCCTCAGCATTTTATCTTAGGGTCTTCGCATTGACCCAAACACAACACTGTCCTCCCATTGTTCATCAACTTGCTCGAGCAGGCCCAGTAACATCTCCATTGTGAGACTTCTTGTTACTGTGTTTGGCATATTGAATACTCTCGGTAGCTTGCTAGGCTCTCCGAGAGGGGTGGAGGAATTGAACCCTGGCTTGGCCGGGCTGGCTGCGTGCAAGGCAAACGCCCTACCGCTGTGCTATCGCTCTGCATTGACCCAACAGCCCTTAATCACCAGTGGAGGCCGTGGGTCTCCTGAGCACTGATTGAGAGCATGCCCACCAACAAAAACAGGAGGAAAAACATGACTATCATTCCAAGAACAGTTATTATCGTTCTGACTATGATCAAACAAATTGGAAAGAGTTAATGGAAGAGAGGATAGTGCCTTAGATCACTGCAGAGTTTTGTAAACTTCCATGATTATTAGGCGAGGTTGCCCCAGAAGAATCCCCAAGAGAGGCTTGGCGAAAGAGCAGGGTATGGGCATGGAGGGCAGTGAGGGGTGGGGCGCCAGAGGAAAGACTCTCTAGCAGAAACTGTTTGAAAGTCACAGGGAGCTGGAAGATGGTGAGGGAGGAAAATAAAGTCATTACTGACACTGCAAACAAGCAGGAAGCAAAACTTTGCAAATGGTGACAGTCTGGGAAATGACTCTCTCTGAATCCAACTGAGAATGGAGATTGTCCAGGACAGGATGGACCAGCTTCCTGCAGGGACTGTCAGCTCTCTGAGGGAAGGCAGCTCCGTTCCAAATTTACACATTCACACACGCACCATCGCACACCTATTCTACTGCTGTGAGGGCACATGCAGTAGAATAAGGGAGAGTAGAATAAATGCGGACGGTGGGCCGAGGCCTACGGTCAAACCCAGGGGTCAAGTAGTCACTACACAATCATGAAGGTCAGATTTGAGTCAGGCCTTCCACTAGAAATTCCCCAAATGGCAAAGTCAATCCCTGTTCTCCTGCAGGTCTAGGGTGAAAGGAGGAGGAGGAAGAAGAGGAGGAGGAGGAGGAGGAGGAGATACACACACACACACACACACACACACACACATATATGCCAAACACCAGTAACAATGATGGGTCTCATTCTCCTAACCCTGGAAGAGCCTTTAATATGGCACTTTTTTAAAAAATCCCAGGGCCAGGATGAAGGAGACGTTACTGGGGCCTGCTTGAGGCAATCAACGAACAACAGGATGGTAGTTATTGTGATCGTGATATATATATATATATATATATATATATATATATATATATATATATATTTGACATCAGACACACTTGCTTCCAGAAGAAGCTAGGGCCCAAGGGTAGTACTGGGGTATTAAGGAGTTTATTATGTACATAGTAACCCAGTTCTATCCTGGCATCACATATGGTCCACCAGCACTGATAGGAATGACTCCCAGGAGAAAGCCCTGAGCACAGCTGGGTTTGACCCAACATCCCAGGAAGGAAGGAAGGAAGGAAGGAAGGAAGGAAGGAAGGAAGGAAGGAAGGGAGGGAGGGAGGGAGGGAGGGAGGGAGGGAGGGAGGGAGGGAGGGAGGGAGGGAGAGAGGGAGGGAGGGAGGGAGGGAGGGAGGGAGAAGGGAAGGAGGAAGGAAGGAAGGAAGGAAGGAAGGAAGGAAGGAAGGAAGGAAGGAAGGAGGAAAAAAGGAAGGAGTGAGCAAAAGAAGCTAACTGGAAATGGGAGACAAAGTTCTGTGTCATTTTCAATGTTAAAACTTTAAATTTTTATTCTAAAGGCATTTCCCATTTGTTTCTGAAATGCTTCCCCAGGTGCCCGTAAACACTGGAAAACCACTTCAGAAAGGATCACCCTTCTTACAAGATTATTTTTCAGATAGAATTTTGTATAGATTTATTAAAGGTTCATTTTTACTACCAACAAGTACACTTACATATAAATAATGGGGACAATAAACGTAGCTATATTTTCAAATACCAATAACTTTCATTAACAGTGGGCCTCGTTCACCACACTTACTGCTAATCAAAGGCAGACTGCAAAGCTAATTTTAACGATTGCCAACAGCCCATGACAAGCCACTGGTGACAGGGTAATTATACCTATGATGCCAGATCATCTGACAAACTCAATTCTTGTTCCTCCACATGGATCCCATCGTTGAAGACATGGGCGTGTGTAATATGTTCATGCCAGTGCTCAAAGTTAAGAACGGATAATTCAAATGAAGACATCTTTTACATCATGGGGACATCTCTATCAACCAAGAAATAGCCATAAAAAAGGGAAAATGTATTCAACTATTCAGATGGCATCAAATATTTATGTTCCACAAATATCATCTAAGAAAGGCAATCCAGGAAGGCAAAAGAAGATGTACCCATGGAAAGGCTCTTAACTCAACGCCACGGAGTTATCAATCCTTAAGAAGGCATGTTTGTTTGGGCACAGTGTCTATATGTGTTATTCGGATCTGAAAAATCCACCTTCTTTTCTTCTCTTTTAGTGGCATGATGGAAACCACAGTGTTATCGGACTTTGCTCCATGGGATTATTAAGGGACAGAATCTCAACAGTTTTCTCTACTTTTCAAGATATCTACATCGTGCATGAATTGCTTCCTGGATGGAAGACAATAGAGGGTGTCATTGCCAGGCTTCTCTAGAATAATCCTTCCGACATCCCCCACACTACAATCCCCTCACTGCCCCGCCCACCCCCACTAAACAGGACTGACCTGTTGAGTTAAGGGGACACTGCAGAAATGACCAGTGTCAGAGCCCAGGACCCAAACTCTGGAGGTTCTATCTCTTTGTGGGGACAGCCATGACTACTGTGGGAAGGTTAAGTCAAGCAGGACAGGGTGGGAGACAGCAAGTAGGTCACTCGCCTTGTATGAGGCCCACCCTGATTTAGTCCCCAGCACCACAAAGAGTCTCCTGAGCCTGTCAGGGTCACCCTTGGGACTGGAGCGATAGCACAACGGGCAGGGTTTTTGCCTTGCACACGGCCAACCCGGGCTCAATTCCTTGCATCCCATATGGTTCCCCAAGCACCGCCAGGAGTAGTTCCTGAGTGCAGAGTCAGGAGTAACCCCTGTGCATTGCCAGGTATGACTCAAAAAGCCAAAAAAAAAAAAAAGAAGTGACTCTCAGAAGAGCCAGCAGTAAGTCCTGAGCCAGGTATGCCCCACCTCAAAAAAAAACATCTAAAAAGAAATAAACCAAGATAGGAACCTGAGGCCTCTCCCCTGACCAGCAAGGACAGGACACCTCTGACAAAGGAGATCCTTCCGCCCCACCCCCACCCCAATGGCCCTCAGTCAGCCCACACCTTGACCACTAGGGAGCACCCTGGTTTGACTCACCCCACCGAGCGGCCTTGGGCCTCCCTCCCCCCAGAAATCCTGCACAATCATCAATGTTGACTGTAGCTGCCAGCTGCCGAGTTGAAGAATAATGTGTGGCCCAGGAAATGATACGGTGGCTCTGGGCATTCGTGTTATCCAAAGAAAATGTTTGCTACCCCCACCCCCTCCCCAACACCAGTGTAGATGTCCCGCCCAGAATATCCCTCAAGACCCCCTCTTACACACCAGCACCCCCTGAGACCTGCTCCTCAGAGTGAGCTCCTCTGGCACACGGTTCCTCCTCAACTCTGCTCAGGATGGGCCCTTCCCACACACAGCTCCCCCTCAGACCTACTCAGTGTGGGCATACGTACCTTCCCCTTAGACCTGCTGCTCCTCAGCCCACTGCCCGGCATGTCCCAAGGCTGTGGGCATGCAGACTCCCAGCCCCCACCCAGGCTCTGGAACCCACCTACCACTTTTTTTTTCTTTTTAAACTGGGCCCCCATCCGGCGGTACTGGGCCCCAGGAGCTACATGCGAACATGTAGTGAACATGTTGTGAACCATATGGTTCACTCCAGTCTACATTTTCCTGAGCTCTGCAGTGTTTCTCCATCCTGGAAGCATATTGGAAGCCCTCTGGAGAACCATTTCAAGTCTTAATGCTCGGGCCTTTGGAGGAGGTGGGGGATGCAGCATCAGTATTTTAAGAAATAAAACCCTAATCTATCTAATCTAACCCTAATCAGTATTTTAAGAAATAAAACCCTAAATAGGATTGGCAGAACACTAGATGAAGGACAACCATGCGAGCAAGCCGGGTTCCGCAAAGGATTCAGCACCATCGACCATATCCACACAATAACCAAGCTCATTGAGGTTTCTCGGGAGTTCAAGATGCCGCTCTGTTTAACGTTCATTGATTTAAAGAAGGCCTTTGATTCTGTTGAGATGGAAGCGGTCATTGAAGCCCTAGCCAATCAGGGCATTCAAGCCCAATACATCAGGATCCTCCGTGAGCTGTATTGCGGATTCACTACCAGGATCTCACCATTCTACAAAGAAGTAATCATTGATGTCAAGAGAGGGGTTCGGCAGGGTGATACCATTTCACCGAAACTCTTCAGTGCCACCCTCGAGAACATCATGCGACGACTGGAATGGGAAGGAATGGGAGTGAAGATAGATGGTCGGCAACTACACCACCTCCGCTTTGCTGATGACATTGTTTTAATAACACCAAACATCAGCCAAGCGGCACAAATGCTGGCCAACTTTGACCGTGAGTGTGGAAAGGTAGGACTACAGCTGAATCTTACGAAGACAATGTTTATGAGAAACAGCCTCGTTCCTGACGCCCCATTCGCTCTCAACAGAACGACCATCTCCGAATGCAACAGCTATGTGTACCTAGGTCGAGAAGTCAACATGACAAATGACCTGGCACCCGAGCTGTGCAGGAGGAAGAGAGCGGCTTGGAACGCCTTCAAGAGCGTCGAAGAAATAGCTAAGAGGACGAAAAACCTCCGGCTCCGGGCACATCTCTTTGATTCCACTGTTCTTCCTGCATTAACGTACGCCTTAGAGACCTGGGCCCTATGCAAACAGGATGAGAAAGCTATCTGGGTCTCCCAAAGAGGAATTGAAAGAGCTATGCTTGGGATATCACGTTTCACTCAAATGAGAGAAAGAATCCGGAGTTCCTACCTCTGTCGACGATCAAGAATCAGGGACGCTGTCTCGTTTGCCAAGGCATCAAAAATCAGGTGGGCTGGTCACGTAATGAGATTTAAAAACGACCGCTGGACTAGAGCTGTTACTGACTGGATTCCATGGGATGTCAAAAGACCGCATGGCCGCCCACCTACCAGATGGTCAGATTTCTTCATCAAGATCATGAACGATCAGTTTGAGGCTCTTCATGTTCCTAGAGCGAACAGACGCCATTGGGCTACACTAGCACGCAACTGGGACAAATGGAGACATTACTGGCGCCCGCTTGAGCAAATCGACGATTAACGGGAAGTCAAGTGATCAAGTGAAGAAATAAAACCCTAATCTAACCTCCCTGTTTCCACTTCTCTCCGCTCTCACCTACATTCCCAGGCCTCCTCAGAAGTTGCATAAGCAAGGCCATAGTCTAGGACAGAGTTTCTCGACCTTTCTTCCACGGTCATCCCCTTCTGGCCTGGTTTCCTTCCTGTGGTTTCCCTGTTGTACCAGGTGGCTCCCTAGTCGCATGCCATGGCTCCCCCATTTTTATCTGTGGTCCCCATGGGATATCCCGCCCTCACTTGAGAAACATAGGTCCAGAAGAATGCAACCCCACTGAGCCCCCTGCCCCCCACCCCCACTCCACACCCCATATCTTGGCTCTTTGGAAGCTCGGTAGGCCTCCTCCATGGCTCTCTGGAGATCTCTCAAACACCCTGTACCCTCCATTTCTCTCCCCACTTTCCTTTGAGCCCCCTTGCTTAAATCATTTCCACTGTAAGCCAGTTCCGACTCACGGATAAGGACAGAGCCCTTCTTTGGGATGGCAGACGCTTCCGTTGGCTTTTGCTTCACATCTGTCATTGAAGACACTATGAGAGGGTCGCTCTCACGTGCTTCTCTTTCTCCCCTGTCCTCTACCCTGCACCTCCTCTCTACAACCACAAGTGATGCCAAAACTGTGTATGCAAAATGGTTCTGGGACTTTCCCAGCACCTGAACCCCTTAGCACCTCGATTCGTTTACAGAAGGCCCCGACCTTTCTTAAAGCAAATCCTATGGCTCTGTTGACTGAGGGATCAAATTCAAAGAACTTCATAACTATGTCCAAGTAACTCGGTAGTCCTTGGAGAAAAAAAAAACGGAGTCCATAAACTGCAAGGAAAACTCTTCCTTTCATGCTTAAGTCACCAAACCAGAGTCCTGGATGTCCAGGACCAAGTTTTCAGACTGTGAATTTTTTTTTTGCCGGACACCATCAGCTGCCTTTCCTGTCCCCCATGATTTTGAGAGTCACCACCCCAAATCCAGCTTCCCAAGGACAGGACACCCACCAGGAGACCCACTAGTCCTGAGAGTTTGCTGAGGGACCCTGCGGAGTCTGGGGAGTCTTGGCCCCTCTGGTTCTGTTTATATCAGCTCAAAAGTGACAGAATTGCTCGTCCCCTCTCCTCTCTCACTTTTCCTGCTCAAGGCCCAAATATTCCACCTCCCTCCTGGCCCGGCTTCTCTCCAGCCCCAAGTAGGCACGCTCAATCACCTCTTTCCACTTTTCTCCCCTGGAACCTTCCAGGCTCTTCCAGATGCAGGTGCTGTCAAGAGCACTCAATGTATCACCCAACAAGCCTCCTCCTGTTTCTGGTGTCTGTGGGCCACGCCTGGCCATCCTCCTGGTTTCCCCCTCCCTGGCTCTTTCATCCAGGGACCCTGCAGAGTGCACAAGAGGCTCACAGGGTACAAACCACAACCCCGTGCAACTCAGGGAGCCTGGAGCCCTGCCCCCAACCTCACCCCAACATTGACATTCTCCTCCTGCCCCATCTCCCTCAGGCCCCCTGCCTGTGCATTGGAGTGGGGTCTGAGGAAGCCGAGCTCGCACTTATGTGTTAAACCTGCTGCCAGCCTCCAAGCTGCCCACCTCCTCACCATCCCACCTTCCCCCCTTAACCCTCTGTTCTTGGTGTATTACTATTCTCCAGAGAAACAGAATCACCAAGTGGGGTGGGAGAGAAAGACTCAACAGAGCGAGGGTCGCTGAGCGGCTGATTTAAGGAACTGGCCCATGGGGCTGTGAGGCAAGGCTGAAATCTGCAGGCTGACCCAGGGGAAAGTCGGTGTGGAGGAGTGGAGAGAGAATTCTTTTTTTTTTTTTTTGCTTTTTTTGGGTCATACCCAGCGATGCTCAGGGGTTATTCCTGGCTCTGCACTCAGGAATTACTCCTGGCGGAGCTTGGGGGACCATATGGGATGCCGGGGATCGAACCCAGGTCGGCTGCGTGCAAGGCAAATGCCCTACCCGCTATGCTATCACTCCGGCTCCGAAAATTCTTTCTTTAGGGGGAGAAATAGTCCTTCTTCTTTAGCCCTCTTCAGCTGATTAGATGAGACCCCCCCCACACACACACATACATACATACATACACACCATCCCCCCACGCCCAAATTTGGAGGCTGAGCTGCAGTGCTCAAAGCAGATTCACACTCGACATGTAGGTCACTCACACTAAAGACCGATGCTGGGGGCCAGAGAGATAGTACAATGGGTAAGGTGTTAGCCATGCTCATACCACATACCACACCTCTGTTTGATCCCAGCATACACAGTGCTGGGATCAAACCTGAGCACCACCAGGAGTGATCTCGGAACACAGAGCCAAGAGTAAGCCTTGAGCAGTGCTGGAAATAGATTGTCCCCCAGTTACCCTTCCCCGCCACCCCCTCCACAAAATACTAATATTGAAGCCAAAATGGGCAGCACAGCCAAGCCAAGGTGATAAAAAAAAATTAACTAACACTTTCTCCTTTACTGCGCACTTATTACTCACAAGGCAGTTCTGAATGCTGGAGTACAAATAAATAAATAAATAAAAATAAGAACTCTGCCTCTCACCTACCTACCCTTCAGGAGTAGAGGAAGAGATGACAAAGAGATAGCACAGCAGTAGGGCGTTTGCCTTGCACGCAGCCAGCCCAGCCGAGCCAGGTTCGATTCCTCCGCCCCCCTCGGAGAGCCCGGCAAGCTACCGAGAGTATCTCACCTGCAAGGCAGAGCCTGGCAAGCTCCCTGTGACGTATTCGATATGCCAAACACAGTAACAACAAGTCTCAAAAAGGAGACGTTACTGGGTCCGCTCGAGCAAATCGATGAACAACAGGAGGACAGTGTTTGTTTGTTTAAGTTCAATTACTAAAGAAAGTTCAACAAAAACAAATAAGGCGGGGGGGGGGAGATGGTGTGAAGCAAAATCCTGGAAAGTAAAAGGGGGCTCTCATGGGATGGGAATAATCACATCCCAGGGCTGGAGCGATAGCACAGTGGGTAGAGCGTTTGCCTTGCACACGGGTGACCTGGGTTCAATTCCGAGCATCCCATATGGCCCTCCCAAGCACCACCAGGAGTAATTCCTGGGTGTAGAGTCAGGAGT